TCCTTCTCTGTTTCTTTCTTCTCTCCCTCCCTCCTTCTCTGTTTCTTTCTTCTCTCCCTCCCTCCCTCTCTGTTTCTTTCTTCTCCCCCCTCCCTCCCTGTTTCTTTCTTCTCCCCCCTCCCTCCCTGTTTCTTTCTTCTCCCCCTCCCTCCCTCTCTTTTTTTTTTAATTCTCCCCCCTTCCTCCCTCTTTCTTCCCCCTCCCTCCCCTACCTGTGTGGTAGTGTGGCCGAGCCCAGTATAGTCCGACCGAGCCCTCTATGGCATGGTCCGACCGGTACAGGGAGCTGTTGTTTCCTGTACCCGGCCGGACTAACAGGAAGTGAACACTCAGTGTGCACTTCCTGTTAGTCCGGCCGGGTACAGGAGACAGCTGCTCTCTGTACCGGTCGGACCATGCCATACAGGGCTCGGCCACGCTACAGAGAGGGAGCTGACAGGAGGGAGCGCTGAGCGCTTCCCTCCTGTCAGCCTCTCCTCAGGCTGCGCCCGGGCGGTGCGGTCCGCCCTCATGGACGCACCGCCCGGGCAAAGCTGCAGCCGCCTGAGGCGCTCTACAGAGCGCTCGGGTGGCTGCAGCATGGGGGGGGCGGCGCTCCTGGCGGCGCCCCTTCCCAAGGGGCGCCCTAGGCGGCTGCCTAGTCCACCTTACAGGTAGCGCCGGCCCTGGTGGTATTAGCAGTGTAACACACTGAACAATGAGTGCGCCATTAGGAATCCCAAACTAAATCATAAATGGCTACTGACACAGAGCACTGTGAAAGTTTATACAGGTCCGATGACTATAACCAGGCCCATGTCATCCCTGAACACCCAAACCGTGCGCCAGAATGACACAGTGCTGGTTAAGTTGGTTGTATCCAATAAATTACACTGAGACATTTTATTACAAAAGGAAGGAAGGGAGCAGCCTTCTGCATCAGAATTAATGCCGCAAAGGTGAGGGTCAGGACTTAGACTTCATTTGGCATCAAAATGTATGCAAATAAAGTGCAGGTCAGGACGTAGACTCTGCTTGGTGTCTAGACTGATGTGATTAAGATGCGAGGAAGAACGAAGAGCCGCAGGTAACCTTACATCATACCTAGTACCCAGAAATTCCCATTTACACAGAGATGTGCGCTCATGGGCAAGATGGCGTTACACCGGCCTGGTGCAGCGAGGGCAAGTTTAATGACGCAGTTTTGGGGGACTTTTGTGGTGCTCACAAAAAGCTCACATAGGGATCAGTTTAGGAAGGTCCCTTGGAAAGCATGGGATATAGTGTAAAACCTGACTCTTTATGTACGAAATGGGCAGACTGGGACTCCGCTGGCTATATCTGCCGTTATCCACTAAGCTGCCGGCCAGACTCCTGCTGATTCCCATCATATAAAATCCATACGTTATGGGTACGTTCCCAGCGGCCATCTGATGGAGTATAAACATGAACCCAAATTAGTGCCTCTCCTGCTGATATTTACATGTGTTTTATGTTAATTTATTAACCTAACGTTCAAGTAATGCAAATAGACATTACAATAGGGATCTCATTCTGTGACTAGGATGCAGTCCTGACTTTCGTCAGACCAGCTTTCTCCTTTGTCTCACATCCTGCCGGAGATATTAGGCACACGATGAATACATTTCAAGTAATGTTTGTCAGATGTCTTATTTAGCTGCTAATAGCAATCTGGGCAGTCGGTAATAGGCATGTTTAACCCTAGATGTGCAAACGTTATGAGGAAAGTACTCCAGAGAACGCTGACCTCCTCCCCATGCCTCTGGTTGTGAAAAGGTTCATGAAGGTTCCATTATATGGAATAATGCAAATCAGAGTTCTCTCTATGGTGCTATAATGGGAATTAGGACATACAGGGGTTTTATTGGTTTGTGAAACGGTCCGGAGTGGATTTCATTGAACTCATTAAATATTTTTTATAAAGCAAATACCCCAAGGGTCAAATATATTCAGAGCGGATTCTTGAGGGTCAGTTCACTAAACAGCAAGTTTTGGTATCTAGAGAATTCACTTTTAAACTTAATTCCAAATCTAACCGCTGTTCTGGCTTATTTACTAAACCATGTATTGTCAGCAATTCCCCAGGGATCTGCCAATTTTAGGCCAAGTTAGCTATGCCCTCAACTCTGTGGCTCAGACCAGCAGTACCCCGACCCTCCCCACAGGACCGGTGGGGGACATGCTGGTCCATACAGACAAGACACAAGTTGTGAGTGCTGTGGTGGAATAACTGTTTAAATACTCACCCAGAGCGAGATGAAATTGGACAAAATGGTGGACGCAATGGTGCCTGTGACACGAGACCCAGGCCTGAGCCGTGCAGCAGACTCGACTGACCTCTCACACAGCATTTTAACCAGACTGAAAGCGACCTTTGCCCGCTTCTGGGCCACCATGGAGGAGAGGATGACGCACCCTGTTGCAGTCCTGGCAGGGAACGAAGGAGTGAGATACTGCAAAGGGAGGCCTCAGGGGCCCTTTGTGCAGCATGCTATTGCCCTGGCAAGTGTCACTTCGGTCCCCAACACTCCCACACTGAGACCCATTCGGAGACTCACCCTGCTGCAAAAGCCACAACAACGGTGACCCATACGATATCGGCGACGCAGATACCTCCAGACAATTCGGCCTGCATGCTCTCTCCCAGACAGGAAGATTAGGGTGTCAAGAGCCCTGTTAGCAAGAGGCATGCCGCTCCACTGGTCTGGGACCAGGAAGAAGAAGCTCAATTACGGCACAGCACTGCTAATCGACCAAGTGGATTGCACAAAAGTGAATTGCCTACCCAGCATGGGCATAGGATGACTGCCTTGTGTTCCTCCTTGGGAGCTACCCAGATATCTGAACACTGTGCCTTCCTCACCTCTGCACTGCAAACCTGTTTTAACATATCTGATATTACTTTCCTGCTCATGTTTCACACAGTTTCTGCATAGTCATACTCTCCACACTCTGACAACGCAGTTTACAATCTACTGCCTCACTCTTTATCCTATACTCTCTCTTAGCAGTCTAAATAATCTACTGCTAGCACCCTCACTCTTTAGCCTATACTCTCTCTTAGCAGTCTAAATAATCTACTGCTAGCACCCTCACTCTTTATCCTAAACTCTCTCTTAGCAGTCTAAATAATCTACTGCTAGCACCCTCACTCTTTATCCTATACTTTCTCTTAGCAGTCTAAATAATCTACTGCTAGCACCCTCACTCTTTATCCTATACTCTCTGTGACGGACCGCCTGGCACCCAGACCGGGTACCTCAGTCAGTGGCTGCTTCCTGTTACTTGCGAGCACCATAAGCACTGTACTGGAACACCATAACCACTGCAAACCCCACGGACCGCCGCAGCTTGGTTAGGGTCTTGCCGTCCTCCACCCACCCTGGACCCAAGACCAGGATCCAGTTTGCAATGGGTAGACCTCCCCTAGTCCAGAGAGCGTAGCAGGAACAGCTCTTATAAGAGCTAGTGATTATACTCAGGGGAGTATTGTGATATAGCAATTCCCAAAGTGTATGTAGTTTTCCAATCGCCAAACATGAGCCAAGACTTCATGAAGGGGTAAACGAATTCCAGTTTAATGGGAGCCACACTTGGTCTTATATGTCAATCCCATGCAAGGGATACTCACTGACCAGGGCCTACGCCTTCCTTATACAAGTGAACCCAGGCAGCCGCCCAGGGTTGAGATAGGAGGGGCTGCCCCCAAGCGCCTCCCCATATCGCTTGCCTCTTTAGTAACACGCCTGAGCCTATAGAGAGCCAGACGGCTACAGAGCCCGCCTCACCTCCCTTGGGAGGCGCCTGAGTGTGCACTTCCTGTCGGTTCCCTCGGCCTAGGACCGATAGAGCTCGGCCACGCCAAGGTGGGCAGGGGAGGTGTGGAGATGATTATAGGAGGGAGAAGATTATTAGGGGAGAAGATTATAGGGGAGGGGGTGGAGGATTATAGGGGGGAGAAGATTATAGGGAGGGGGGGTAGAGATTATAGGGATGGGGAGAGAAGATTATCAGAGAAGATTATAGGAGGGGGGAAGATTATTAGGGGGGGGAGAAGATTATAAGGGAGGGGGAGAAGATTATAGGGGAGGGGGGGGAGAAGATTATAGGGGAAGATGGAGGGGGAGAAGATTAAGGGGGAGAAGATTACAGGAGGGAGGGGGAAAGATTATAGGGGGGAGAATACAGGGAGGAGGGGGAGGGAGAAGGTTATAGGGAGGGGGGAGAATATTATAGAGGGGTGAAGATGGGAGGGGGGGAGAAGATTATAGGAGGGGAGAAGATTACAGGAGGGAGGGAGAGGAGAAGGTTACTGGGGAGAAGATTACAGGAGGGAGGGGGGGTGGGAGAAGGTTACAGGAGGGGGGAGAAGATTACAGGAGGGAGGGGGGAGGGAGAAGGTTACAGGGGGGAAGATTACAGGGAGGGAGGGGGGAGGAGAAGGTTACACCTGGAGGGAGGAGGAGAAGGTTACAGGGAGGGGAGAAGATTAAGGAGGGGAGGGGGGAGGGAGAAGATTGAGTGGGAAGGGGAGAAGAAGAAGATTACAGGGAGGGAGTGGGGGAGAAGAAGAGAAGATTACAGGGGGAGGGGAGAAGATTACAGGGAGGTGGGAGAAGAAGAGAAGATTACAGGGGGAGAAGAAGAGATTACAGGGACGGGGGGAGAAGAAGAGGAGAACACGGGGAGGGGGGAATAAGAGGAGAACACGGGGGGTGGGAGATGAGAACGTAGGGGAGGGAGAGACCACTAAAGGAGGGAGGGGGCGGTGGAGAGACCACTAGGGGAGGGGTGTGAGGAGAGACAGCTAAAGGAGGGAGGTGGAGGATAGACCACAAGGGGAGGGCTGGGGGAGAGGAGAGACCACTAATGGAAAGTCGGGGAGAAAAGGAGACCACTAAGGGAGGTGGGGGGAGAGGAGAGACCACTAAGGGGCAGGGGAGATCTCTAAGGAATGGAAGGGAGAGCTCTATAGGACAGGGGGCAGGACAGGGAGCTCTTTCACACCACGCGCACACACACACACAATGCATCCCTATACACACAGAAACACAACATGCTTCCCTTACACACAGAGAAACACACAATGCAACCCTTACACATAAAGACAATGCATCCTTTGCACATATACACTGAAACACACAATGCATCCCTTACACACACATGCAAACACACACTGCTTCTCTTACACACACAGAGAAACACAATGCATCTCTTACACACACTTAACGCACCCCTTACAGACACACACACACTGCATCCCTTACATACACAGAAACACACTTTGCATCCCTTATGCATACAAACACAGATTCACACAATGCATCCCTTACACACAACAAGAAACACACAATACATCCCTTATACACAAACACTCACTGCTTTCTATCCCTTACACAAAAACACACTGCTTCCACTACACACACACACACACAGCATCAGCTACACAAACTGGTATTCCTATACACTACATTCCATAAGCACACACATTAGATCCTCTACAGTAACACATAACACATCCCCTACACACTCCACTCCCTGTGAGCGAACTCATGGGTGGAACATGTAGGTGGACTTATGGGTGGGCTTTATGGGCATACTCACCGTCAGGCCCTGGGACCCAGACCTTGAGCTACGTAAGAGGCCCCAAAAAATTGAGCTGCTTCCCGTTCTCCCAGAACATTGAATTTTGTGACCACAGTTACAAACAGCCTCCAGAGAGCCTGTTCTACACCAGACCAGTGGAGCCAGACAGCAGCTAGAGCCCATCACCATCCTCATCTGATTGTAAGTAGGCAATCTAATATATTATTAGTGACACTAATCTCTAATTTACCTCACATTAAATGGACAGTATAGTCCCCAGAACCACTGCAGCTTAATAAAGTGTCTATAGTTTGTCCCTGCAGGCTTTTTAATGTAAACACACACTGTGTGCAGCACTGGCACTAGTTCATATGGCAGATCATATGGGTGTGTGATTGCGATGTCCCGGGGACGGCAAATCTTTCTTTTGCCTAGGGCGGCAAAAATCCTTGCACCGGCCCTGACTGGGACCTTGTGGTGGACTGATTTGCAACTTCACAGACCAATAACAATAAGGTTACAAGGCACGACACTCCCACACACAGCACACAATCCCTCCCCTCTGCCTGGGAGATAATTGGATCAGTAACTGTACTAATTCTAATCCAATTATCTCCAAGCATAGAAAAAACATACTTTTTTAAAACACACCAAAAATACCCTAAAAATACATAAAACACCACAATCTGGGTCACCAACATATCCAAAAATCACCCAGATCAGTTCAGGGGTTCAGGAATTGCCTGGAAGTAATTTATGTGACCGACCACAGGCATGGTCCCATAGCCGAAAATAGTTCCATAGAATCGCGGCTAAGTGCAGCTGGAGGACCAACCGGGAACCGCAAAGTTTTCATGTCGAAAATAGTTCCAAGGCATTCGCGGCTAAGTCTCCCTGAAGTCTATTCACGGTTTTGATCCATGCAAATAAGATGGCCGCCACCTCGTGGTCGTCCATAGGAATCGCGACCACACAGACGAACACTTAGACCAGTGCGGTGGAAATTGCAACAATGTATCAATTAAGCTTCACAAGCTCCAGGGTGGTCTCCGGTTCGTGCAGCTGTTCGGTAAACGAGCCATATAGTCTCAATTGCACGAACAGAGCCCGTTTAAAGTATTTTAGCCAGGTCTATTGAAGGGCCATAGTCACAGGGTAGGAGGGTGGCAAACAGGCCCCTCCAAAAACCAGTGGCAAACTCACTTAAAAAAGGGGAGTTTGTCACACTCTCTGTTAGCAATTTACATAATCTACTGCTGGCACCCTCACTCTTTATCCTATACTCTCTCTTAGGATCAGACCTTTGCCTCAGCCTGTTTCCAATAATATAAAAATGGCATGACAATGACCATATCAGTGAGATTGCAATATACTTGTCTATGCTGTTGTGGCATCGCAAGCCTGTATGTCATGACTTGCACTATGAAAATAAAGAATAATAAAAAAAAAGTTGGTTATTTTAGCCTTAATTTCCCTGTTAAATGTTACTTCACGCAGTGATTTGAAGTGGTCATGGTGTCTGGAGTCTGTGTGTGGAGTGCTTTCCTATTAAACACTGCATATATGGAGTTTAACCCCTTTGCACGATTACTTTGTTGGTATTGATGGGGTTAAATTGATGGATAGCAGGGTTACTCTGTTGGTAGTGAAGAGGTTAAATTGATGGACAGCACGGTTACTTTGTTAGAAGAGAAGGGGTTAAATTGATGGACAGCATGGTTACTTTGTTGGTAGTGAAGAGGTTAAATTGATGGACAGCATCGTTACTTTGTTGGTAGTGAAGAGGTTAAATTGATGGATAGCACAGTTACTTTGTTGGTAGTGAAGAGGTTAAATTGATGGATAGCACGGTTACTTTGTTGGTAGTGAAGAGGTTAAATTGATGGACAGCATGGTTACTTTGTTGGTAGTGAAGAGGTTAAATTGATGGACAGCATCGTTACTTTGTTGGTAGTGAAGAGGTTAAATTGATGGATAGCATGGTTACTTTGTTGGTAGTGAGGAGGTTAAATTGATGGATAGCACGGTTACTTTGATGGTAGTGAAGAGGTTAAATTGATGGACAGCATGGTTACTTTGTTGGTAGTGAAGAGGTTAAATTGATGGACAGCATCGTTACTTTGTTGGTAGTGAAGAGGTTAAATTAATGGACAGCATTGTTACTTTGTTGGTAGTGAAGAGGTTAAATTAATGGACAGCATTGTTACTTTGTTGGTATTGATGGGGTTAAATTGATGGATAGCACGGTTACTTTGTTGGTAGTGAAGAGGTTAAATTGATGGATAGCATCGTTACTTTGTTGGTAGTGAAGAGGTTAAATTGTTGGATAGCACGGTTACTTTGTTGGTAGTGAAGAGGTTAAATTGTTGGATAGCATGGTTACTTTGTTGGTAGTGAAGAGGTTAAATTGATGGATAGCATGGTTACTTTGTTGGTAGTGAAGAGGTTAAATTGTTGGATAGCACGGTTACTTTGTTGGTAGTGAAGAGGTTAAATTGTTGGATAGCATCGTTACTTTGTTGGTAGTGAAGAGGTTAAATTGTTGGATAGCATCGTTACTTTGTTGGTAGTGAAGAGGTTAAATTGTTGGATAGCATGGTTACTTTGTTGGTAGTGAAGAGGTTAAATTGTTGGATAGCACGGTTACTTTGTTGGTAGTGAAGAGGTTAAATTGTTGGATAGCATCGTTACTTTGTTGGTAGTGAAGAGGTTAAATTGTTGGATAGCATGGTTACTTTGTTGGTAGTGAAGAGGTTAAATTGATGGACAGCATCGTTACTTTGTTGGTAGTGAAGAGGTTAAATCGATGGATAGCATGGTTACTTTGTTGGTAGTGAAGAGGTTAAATTGTTGGATAGCACGGTTACTTTGTTGGTAGTGAAGAGGTTAAATTGTTGGATAGCACGGTTACTTTGTTGGTAGTGAAGAGGTTAAATTGATGGATAGCATGGTTACTTTGTTGGTAGTGAAGAGGTTAGATTGTTGGATAGCACGGTTACTTTGTTTGTAGTGAAGAGGTTAAATTGTTGGATAGCATGGTTACTTTGTTGGTAGTGAAGGGGTTAAATCGATGGATAGCACGGTTACTTTGTTGGTAGTAAAGAGGTTAAATTGATGGATAGCACGGTTACTTTGTTGGTAGTGAAGAGGTTAAATTGATGGATAGCACGGTTACTTTGTTGGTAGTGAAGAGGTTAAATTGTTGGATAGCACGGTTACTTTGTTGGTAGTGAAGAGGTTAAATTGATGGATAGCACGGTTACTTTGTTGGTAGTGAAGAGGTTAAATTGTTGGATAGCACGAATCCCCACGGTTTGGAGCTATTTCTGTTGCAGTTTGAACATACTGGATGTAATCATTGCTGGATACACAGTAATCTAACCGGTTACTTGAATATTTCCCCAGAGAGCTGGGAGTCTAGTTGGCACAGTGGGAGCGAACGGGTGGGAGTTAGACATTAAACAACATATTGCTTTACTTGGCACTTCAGGAAGATTGAATGGAGAACAAACTGAATGGCGAAATGCGAGGCCACGGAATGCGTTATCCTGGGACGGGTTTCATGTTAGCCATTGTTTGTGTCAGTACTTTTAACAGACGCCAACACTTATTAGCAATAAAATGGGGGGATCCACACAGTGCACCCCAAGAAACAACTGCTCACTGAGTAGACGGAAAAAAATCAGAAAGGGTGGATCTCACACAAGACCTATGGGTCCTTAATCACAGACATACATGTTCCTGTATATAACGACTCACAGACATACGTGTTCCTGTATATAACGACTCACAGACACACGTGTTTCTGTATATGATTCATAGACACACGTGTTCCTGTATATAACGACTCACAGACATACACGTTCCTGTATATAACGACTCACAGACATACATGTTCCTGTATATAACGACTCACAGACATACGTGTTCCTGTATATAACGACTCACAGACATGAAACGTATCCAATCTTCCATTTTCCTGCTATACTGTGTATTGGACAGATTTTGTGTGTGCGAGTATAATGTGTGTGAATGTACATGGTATGTAATGAGTTAATACATGCATTCAATTCAAGTTATTAATTCACACCTATAAAGCACTGAACAACTCTAGCCCCTCTTATATCTCCTCACAGATCCATAGGTATGACCCTTCTCGGTCTCTCCGCTCTGCCCGTGACCACCTCCTGTCTGCTGCTTGCACCCGTACGGCCAACTCACGCTTGCAGGACTTCTCGCGGGTGGCTCCCTTCCTATGGAATAGCCTGCCTACCGCCATCAGACTCTCCCCTAGTCTTGCATCTTTTAAGAAGTGCCTTAAAACCCATCTCTTTAGGAAAGCTTATGGCCTCCCAGAGTAACCTCTACCATACACACCTGTCTCTTGCTCTCTCCTAAAGGGCAGCACTCTACTCTCTCCTCCAGCTCTGCTTCACTTATTTGATTTCTATTTTCTGTCCTAATGTGTTTTACACCCCACCTCCTATAGAATGTAAGCTTGTTTGAGCAGGGTCCTCTTCAACCTATTGTTCCCGTAAGTTTTTTGTAATTGTCCTATTTATAGTTAAATCCCCCTCTCACAATATTGTAAAGCGCTATGGAATCTGTTGGCGCTATATAAATGGCAATAATAATAATGTGTGGGAGAATGCATTTTCTGTGTGCGAGTATAATGTGTGTGAATGTACATGGTATGTAATGAGTTAATACATGCATGTGTGGGAGAATGCATTTTCTGTGTGCGAGTATAATGTGTTTGAATGCATGTGTATTTCTGTGTCTGTGGATAATTTGCAGGAATCTATAGCTACGTAAACATCAATGAATGTTTAAGTAGCCATACTCCAGAAGAATGTATATATTAATCAGCTGCATTTTACACGAAGATGACACATTGTGACACTACCATTGCCAAGGAAAGATATCCCCTGGACTGCAAGGAAAGGGAGGCATGACTGCTGTCCTGCAGTAAGGAGGGCGGGAGTATTATGGATACATAGTTTCTAGATGGGGGGATATAAGAAGGAATGCAGAAGGGAGGGTACTCACCAGAGCAGAAGGAGTGGTCTGGAACAGTTTCCCTCCCACCCTCCCCAATTTTCTAGGCTAGGTGATGGTTTCTGTCTTGTGGTGTTGTTTGTTTCTGTTCTTGTTTTGTCACAGCTATGGCGGAGTTCCTGGCCAGTGCATGTAATGCACGGAAAGGATTTGGGGAGTCGCAGCCTGCTAGGGCTGATGGCCGAAGGCAGGCTGTACGAACTCTGGATAAAGACTTGGAGTATCTGTCTGTTGGGTAGTCACCCCAACAGCTGACAGGTGGAAATGCTGGCGCTGTTAAAGTTTAATAAAGCTGTGGCCGTTGCCCTTACCCAACAATCAGGTGTCATGTCGTTATTGGGGGTGACGGGTATGGTATTTGGGTCAGCAGTCATGAATTATCACAGTATATATAAAATATCTTACTGAGATGTGGTGACGGTCAAGTTATGTGATTTTGAATTGACAGTTACAGACAATCTAAGGGTTCATTTATATCCAGAATTTAATATTCTTCTTTCTGTCTCTGTCTAGGGATTTACACGGAGTATTAACCTGGGGACCCTTCCTTCTAATGTAGTCTTTATTCCAGGAAAGAGAATAAAACGGTCTCAGTCCGCCATTCACAATTAGACACAGTGACTCTGTACCAGTAACACACAGCGCCACCTACTGCAAACACCTCATTGTTACATCGTTTATCTTCTTTTAGCCTTTGGCATTTTTGGCTCTGTTCACAGCTATACATCAAGATCATTTGTTTCCCCAAAAAGTCTTTTTTAAACGCATTTTACCTTGACTAGTCAGTATTAATGGTGCTTTTAGAAGATTCTATCTGAGCGTGATGCTAAATAGATTTAATCCTGGCAGAGTATCACAGCTTTAACCCTTTCACAGGAGCAGTGAATGTAGCAAAGTTCGTTAATTACATGCAGGAACTCAGCGGACCCAGGGCCGTCTTTAATAACGAATGGACCCTGGGCAAGTGTTTGCTTGGGCCCCCTATGCCCTGCTGCTCTCGCCCCTCACTCCCTGGTATGCAATCACGGCATCCATCCCAACGCAGTGGCGGTACTAAAGTAGAATGAATTTTATTGGGACCCCCAATTGCAAGGTTGGACTAAAGGTAGAACCCCATCTGTCGTGCAACTCCAACAATGCTTTGACAGCTGGGACTCTACCAATTTCCCATGCTTGCAGGGTTGTATTTAGCACTGAGCCATGTTAGTATGTTTGAATGTAAGCATGTGTTTGTATGGAGTATGTTTGTGTGAATGTGTTTGTATGTGGTACTGGAGTTTGAATGCAAGTGTGAATTTATGTGTAGTGTTTGTTTTTGAATGTAGGAGTGTGCTTGTATGTAGTGTTGACGTTTCAATGCAGGAGTGTGTTTTATATGTAGTGTTGAAGTTTGAATGGAGGGGTGTATTTGTATTTAAAGTTGCGGCTCAGATGCACAGGTACACACTCTGACGCACAAGCAGATACACAGGCACATACACTGACACAGGTACATATATTGACACACACACAGACACATACACTGGTAGACGTACTGACAGACATACTGACACAGGCACATATACAGACATACTGACACACAGACACATATACCGACATACTGACACACACACACAGACACATACACTGATCAACATACTGACACACATACACTGACAGAAATACTGACACCCACACACTGACAGATATACTGACACCCACATACACTGAGAAATACTGACACACACACACAGGCACATACACTGACACACACAGACTGATATACTGACACACACACACACAGACATACTGGCACACAGACAGATATACTGACACATGCATACACATGCACTAACAGACATACTGACGCACTACAGACATACTGACACACACACTGAGACATACTGACTGACACACACACACATACACTAACACACACATACACTAACACACATACACACACACAAACACACACACTAACACACATACACTAACACACAAACACACACATACATACACTAACACACATACACTACCACACAAACACTAACACACAAACACACACACATTTTTATTTTTTTTAAATGTAATCCCCCCAGCCTCCTTACCTTTTGGAGTGCTGGGGGGATTCCCTGGGGTCCAGTGGTGCTGCTGGGCTCCTGGGCGGGTGGCCGGTCGGGCAGGAAGGCGGGCGCGCGAGGGAGCACTCCCTGCTTCCTCTTCAGCTCCCTCGCGCGCCGCGTAGGGATGCCGGCGCCGGAAGATGGCGTCATCTTCCGGCTCCGGCATCAGTGCGGTGCGCGAGGGAGCTGAAGAGGAAGCAGTGAGTGCTCCCTCGCGCGCCCGCCTTCCTGCCCGACCGGCCACCCGCCCGCCGGGGTCAGCGGGGCCCACGGGGCAGGTGCCTCGGGCCCCCCAAGAGAAACTGGGCCCGGGGCAGCTGCCCCGTTTGCCCCGCGTTAAAGACGGCCCTGAGCGGACCCCCATATTGCAAGGACCAACCGAATATTAAACTTCAACTAATGGGATTACATTACGCAAAGCGTGCCCTGTGATGAGGGTTTATCACAATGTTAAATCAGCCTACAGATTTGGATTTATCATCAGTGCAGACACTAAACATGATATTTAATTGCTATAATAGAGGTATAAGAAATTTAAAGACTGTCTAAGCACCAAAAATCAAATCATCTTAATGAATAGACATGCTTTGCGCAGGAAATGTTGATTAAAGGACCACTATTGGCACCCAGACCACATCAGCTCAATGAAGTGGTCTGGGTGCCATGTCCATCTAGGGTTAACCCTGCAGCTGTAAACATAGCAGTTTCAGAGAAAATGCTATGTTTACAATAAAGTTAATCCAGCCTCTAGTGGCTGTCTCATTGACAGCCGCTAGAGGCACTTACGCGCTTCTCACTGTGAAAATCACAGTGAGAAGACGCCGACGTCCATAGGAAAGCATTGAGAAATGCTTTCCTATGGACTGAATGAATGTGCACGCAGCTCTTACCACGCATGGGCATTCAGCGCTGACGTCCGGAGAGGGAGGAGTTTTTCCCAGTGCCGAGGGAGCCCATCGCTGGAGAAAGGTTAGTGATTAACCCCTTACTCCCCCTTCAGCGCGGCAGGAGTGGGACCCTAAAGGTGGGGGGGACCTAAAGCCTAAAGAACCCTACAACAAGTTTGTTTTCCTGGCACTATAGTGGTCCTTTAAGGAACAGGGCACATATAAAAATACAATTTTACATTTTATAAGGATACTTCAAATCACCTATCTCAGCAAACAAATATGGGGATTCAATTCCACCATACAGCAATATTGTACCCCAATATCGGTGAGTCCTACACTAATTACCTCACAGTACCCCAATATGGGTGGGTCATACACTAATTACGTCACAGTACCCCAATATCGGTGAGTCCTACACTAATTACATCACAGTACCCCAATATTGATGGGTCATACACTAATTACATCACAGTACCCCAATATTGGTGCGTCATACACTAATTACATCACAGTACCCCAATATCAGTGGGTCATACAATAATTACCTCACAGTACCCCAATATCGGTGAGTCCTACACTAATTACCTCACAGTACCCCAATATCAGTGGGTCATACAATAATTACGTCACAGTATCCCAATATCGGTGCGTCATACACTAATTACGTCACAGTACACCAATATCAGTGAGTCCTACACTAATTACGTCACAGTACCCCAATATCAGGGGTCATACAATAATTACGTCACGGTACCCCAATATCGGTGCGTCATACACTAATTACATCACAGTACCCCAATATCAGTGAGCCCTACACTAATTACGTCACCGTACCCCAATATCAGTGCATCATACACTAATTACGTCACAGTACCCCAATATCAGTGAGTCCTACAATAATTACGTCACAGTACCCCAATATCAGTGAGTCCTACACTAATTACGTCACAGTACCTCAATATCAGTGAGTCCTACACTAATTTCATCACAGTACCCCAAAATCGGTGAGTCCTACCAAGCAGGAGATACACCAACCTGTCCTGAGCCAACCCTGTGTCCACCCACCTCTGAAGCCAACACCCAACCTACAGCATAAACCCACAGCTTCAGTGGCACTTTGCGCCGCTAGAAGGCTGCGGATCAGGAAACACACCGCTTCGACATACAGCGACAAGCAAGAAGGCGCCGCTGCGACCTGCCAAGGGGACTCTCACTCAGATAAGGGCACTGGCGGAACCCCCATTTATTTCACCTGGCTCAGCTTGCCAGCTTCCTCTGGGGCACAGGGGCCTGCCCTTTTAATCTAGATCACAGGACTCTGCTATGCCCTTGGCCATATGGGGAAGAGTTCTTAGCCCTTCAACATGCCCTTCGATAATATGGAGGAACCCTCTGGTTTCTGTAGATGAAACACTGTTTGTTTTATAAGCACCCTGGCTTAACGCTTCTTCTCATACTCATTCCTTTTACTATGCATCCTGCTAGGGGCCTCCTGGGGAATACATTATTATTATTATTTTATAATTTATATAGTACATGTTGTTAGTACTCACGTTAATGGCTCCCTACTCCTCCCGCCCGCTGTTTAGTATGCCAGGGCCAGAATGACATCCCGGCATAAAAGAGGGCGCACAAGGGAGGAGTGAGAGGCTCCAAAAACAGCCTCCCTTGCAGCTTGCCTTCTCCTGGCTCCTCCAGTCACCGGCATTTGACGGCAGAGCAGGCACCTGTCATCAAGGTAAGATGAGTACACCATGGCCTGCTCTGCCATACTGAAGGACAACTTAGGGGGCCCCCTGTGTTAGGGAGGAGCGGCCCGGCGCTGAGAGGGGGGCGGCTCAAGAGCCGCTTGTCCAGTGCTGCGGCCCAAGACAGGGGGAGCCCACCAGGAAATATCTCGGTGGATGCCCCCAGCAGGCCGGCGCCCTAGACAAATACCTAGTTCACCTAACGGTGGCGCAGGCCCTGTCTAAATCCCTCTGCAGCAAAGTAATATCTTGCTCACATTGTATTACTTTAAATTGCTCACTCCGGAGACCTAATTTATTAAAGACCATATTTCATACAATACTTAGAATTATATGAAAATGGTCTGAGTGTTCAGTGTGGAGAATATATAGTATAACAATGTAACTGTAGTACCAAATATTTCCAGCAGATGGTGACATGGTGTCTGTAATTGAGAGGTCCTATATAGACAATACTCAGACAGGAATATATTTGTTAAATTGTTCTTGGGAAGAAGTGAAACAGGTTTAAGACTTCGGTCCCATTTTGCAATTTGTTTTTTTTAGTTAAAGAGGCTCTGTCCCCCCACCCCCTGATTATTGCACAATCAATGAATTACCGAAATTGCAACATAATAAAAAGATATACTAATATAAAGTAAGGACTGTTCTGTTTAAGTATATTCCCTGCACATAACAAAACCTGACAAAGGGCAGAGCTACCATCAAGATTGGTCATTTCCCCCGGCTGTCACTGAAGGCTTTGTCTATGGAGGGTCATGCACTCAGTGCTGTACTCTCACTAATTGCCTCTCTCACGTTTGTGCGCATACTTGCTGCACTAGCACAGAGGGTTCTCAATGACTAGCCTCTGATTGGCGCAGCCCCTGGCACAGACTGGAAATCTGGTTTTTTTCATACTCCCCCCAAAAAACACGCAGAAAACCATACATGTATACGCGCATGTTTTCTTTCAGGGAATATCTGCTAAATTGCTCATAAAAAAACTCAGCAGGACTATTAAACCTAACCAGATGGATGGTGTGGGCGGCAGATGGAGATCAGCTCAGGGTCAATAAAGAAATAACAGTTATCGAGTCAAAAAAAGCCAAAGCAGAGAATCCCGTGCGCCGCTCACACTCAGAAAGGTGAAATCACGAGATGGCAGCGATTGCTGGGAGCACTGGGCAATATTAAGCCTTTCCCAGGACAGTGCCAACGGGTAGAGGGCCGCCATTAAATCTTCTAATGGCGCAGACTGAAACCACACCACCAGGGGTTAACGCAGACCAGCTATTATGGTCTGTATGTTGTGGTTACCATTTTTTTCATATTGTCAGAAAAACAGAAACCTTCTGCGTCCATTTGTTGGGTATTTGCGTTAATTCAATCATTCTGATAAGGTGGAAACTATCGAACTATTTACTGGGGTGAAATAATGCCTTAATGGTAATAACAATAATACTATAAAAAACAGTGAAACAATGTGACCCGCGGATAGTTTAGGCTACTTTTCGGTTTGATACAAAATGTCACATGTTGAGCTTTTCTGCAAAGTAGACTTAAAGGGGAACGGTCACTTCTTTGGAAAACACAGCACTGAATAAAACCTCCCAAATTACCTCATAGAACCACTGGCAAAAAGTTATAAATATATAAACCTGTGATAGTAAATATAATTAGGATATTGTACAGTTTTCAAGAGCAAATAGGGGCCAAACAGTGAGGCGAGGGCAGCTGCCATCTTTGCCTCACTTTATAGCATGCCTGGCCCAGGGTGTGACACATTTCAAAGGTACTCGCAGCCGCCAGTGGTTTTATTCTTAATTAGACAATTTTTAACTTTAAAGGTAACGATTTAGGGTGCGGTTCACGAACTTCGAGAC